TGGTCAGCCAGCAGAGCGGCCTCATCGCGCGCCTGGAGCGCCTGTGCCCGGGCGGCGCGGGCGGGCAGCAGCAGGTAAGCGCCCAGGCAGCCGCTGCCTCCCCGCGCACGCCCCAGGGGCCCCGAGAGCCCCAGGCCAAACGTGCCATTGGCAGCTGTCTACACGTGCAAATACCCGGATGCTGCTGCTGCCAGCAGTTAGTTCGACGCCGGACGCAGAGTAGCCACCAGCCGGTCCCATATGTGCTCAGCCGGTCCCATAGGGGCTCAGCTGGTCCCATAAGGGGTCAGCCGGTCCCATACGAGGTCAGCCAGTCCGATATGGGCTCAGCCGGTCTGATACGGGCTCAGCCAGTCCCATACGGGGTCAGCCAGTCCAATATAGCATTTAGGCATCGCGAGGGGCAACTTAACCACTGTGCCAAGCACCCACGCTCCATGAGACACCCTCCCGCCACGTCCCGCGTCTCGCTGGGTCCGAAGCCAGCCGCGTTCCGGTGGATTCTGGAACCTTCCCTCCCAGGGAGGGTTGGGGGCGGGGCTCAGGGGGTTCAATACTCACTGTTGCATGGACGCTACTTTTTCCAAACCTTATGGAGAAGGAGACTGAGGCACAGACGGACATTCTGGGGAGCGCCGGGGTGGGCCTTTATGTCCGGCTTTAGTTAGGCTTTGGGCGGAGAAGGGCTGAGACGCCCCCAACTTGATTGCTGGCTCCTCGGGGTTTGGGGAGGTCCATCCGTCACCCCACAGCCCTGCCTCTCTCGGCTCCACCAGGTCCTGCCGCCACCCCTGGTGCCCGTGGTCCCCGTCAGCCTGGTGGGTGGTGGCATCAATGACACCAGGAGGCTGGAGCCAGCGCCAGAGCCCCAGAGAGACCAGACCCTGAGACAGCAGGCGCCCTTGGCCTCTCCCATGGCTGCAGGGCCACCTGCCGTCCCCACGAAGCCAGCAGGTAAGACAAGGGGGAGGGGGAGCCGTGGGAATCCCGGGGTGGGGGTGGGAGGGTGCCAGTGAGCAGGAAAGGGTTCCTTTGTTTTGATGACAGAACAGGGAGGAGGACTCTTATTCTGATAAAACGATGAAACATCAGGTCCGGGTGGGCGTCCCACCCACGCAGACCCTGGGAGGAAGCAGTGACCGCTCAAGCAATTGGGCGTCTGTCACCTGTATGACCTGGATCGAGTTTCTGGCTCCTGGCTTTGGCCCCGCCCAGTCCTGGCCGCTGTAGGCATTTGGGGAGCAAACCTGGAATGAGAGTTCTCGGTCTCTGTCCCTCTGCCTCTCAAATAAATGAATAAAAACACCAAAGTTCTTAGGACAGTACTGGAAATAGGAGAGGAGGGAGTCTTATTTTGATAAGGTGGGCGGGGCTGCTGCTTTGGCACGAGGCAGAACTCTTATTTTGGTGAGGGGACCAATGACAGTCAGGACTCTATGAGTCCAGACACATTTGCGTTACCCCAGAGCCGTCCAGGCCCTCTATAAGTAGGTGGTTAAACTCCATTCAGTCTATAAAAATAGGGAATCGATGTGACGCACAAGAAAAAGGTGAGAGAGCGGCGCCCACACAGACATCTGGAGTCAGCGGGGTGCGAGCAGAAGATCTTATTCTTTAGAATGCGCCAGCAGGAGCAAGTTGATCTTACTCAAATATAATGGAAGGGGCAGCAGGGCCAATGAAAAAAAATTTAAATTATAGAAGGAAAGAAAATGATAAGGCCCCGTGGACGTCGGCAAGGCCGGGCGGGCAGTGGTGGGGCCCCGCAGGCACCAGGCCTCCCGCTGACCTCTTCACTTCCCCCCACGCACACCTCCAGGTGGGCTTTGGGCGGCCGGATGGCGAGTACTGGCTGGGCCTCGAACCCGTGCACCAGCTCACCAGCCGCGGGGACCACGAGCTGTTGGTGCTGCTGGAGGACTGGGGGGGCCGTGGGGCCCGTGCCCACTATGACGGCTTCTCCCTGGAGCCCGAGAGCGACCACTACCGCCTGCGGCTTGGCCAGTACCACGGTGATGCCGGGGACTCTCTCTCCTGGCACAACGACAAGCCCTTCAGCACTGTGGACAGGGACCGAGACTCTTATTCTGGTAAGGAGAGCGCTTATTCTGGTGGGAGGTAGGGGGTGTGGGGCTCTTATTCTGGTGAGGGAATGAAGGGAGGCAGGGATAATAGTCCCCTCCGGCATAGATCAAAGTAAGCTCTTAGTCCAGCAAGAGAATAAACAAACTTTTATTCTGATGAGGGGATGGGAAGCCTAGATTTATCTCTGCTGATGCAAAAAGACTCAGGCGTTTCACTCTGGTGAACAGCAGGCGGTGGGAGTTAGGACTCTTATTCTAAAAGGAAATAAAATTTTTATTTATTTGACAATGGGTGGCAGTCTCCTAGTTTGCAGAAAAGGTGTGACTTATACTTTGGTAAGGAGATAGGGAAGAAATTAAGACTACTGGGCTGAAGAAAGTGGGAAGCCAGGGCTTCTATTTTGGTGAGGAGATGGAGGATCAGGGCTTATAGTCAACAAGACTGGGAAGGGCCAGGGGGTGCCTGGCAAAAGCCTTGACCTAGTGAGATGCTGGTAGCAGCTTTTATTCTGGTGAGGGGACATGGTCTCTCTCTCTCTCCCCCACCCCCTCCAGGTAACTGCGCCCTATACCAGCGGGGAGGCTGGTGGTACCATGCCTGTGCCCACTCCAACCTCAACGGCGTATGGCACCGGGGCGGCCACTATCGGAGCCGCTACCAGGACGGCGTCTACTGGGCGGAGTTCCGCGGCGGGGCGTACTCTCTCAAGAAGGTGGCCATGCTGATCCGGCCCCTGCGGCTGTGACGCCCCGCGCCTCGGGCCCCGGGAGCCCAGGGGACGCAGCTCAGCAGGAGCCCAAGTTTCCTGCTCCACCTCCCTCGGGGCTCAGTGCTGAGGGCTGTCCCGCTGCGGCCCCCCCAGATAAGGACCCTGGAGCCCCTCCCCCAGTATCTCAGACCCGGACGGCTCCCCAAGCACGCTTAGGTCTTGGTGGGAGCTCGCGTTTTGCAACAACATAAAGCATCCCCAGAAGGGGTCTGGTTCGTATCTGGACTGGGCAGGAGTCACTCCTTGTGTCTGCCTTCCTCCTCCTCCTCCTCCTCCTCCTCCTCCTCTTCCTCCTCCTCCTTGAGGTCCTCCAGGATGAGGTTGTCCAGGTCTTCTAGGAGGCCGCACTGGCTCAGGCACGTGGCCACCGTGGAACCACTGCTGATGTGCAGGCTGCTGGGGTGCAGCACCTGGGGCAGGTGGTTCTGCTTCCGGCTCTTGGGGTGGGCACAGGACGTCTCGGGCACGTGCGGCTCTGGGGACAGAGCAGTGCTGAGGGTGTGGGGCTCGAGGGACAAGGGAGCTGGGGCCACGTGGGGGCTCTGGGGAGGCCACAGGAGAGGGGGGCCAGAGCTGCGGGAAAGGGAGCCGGCGACGTGGGACGGGGGTGTCGCCTGAGGCTGTAGTCACGGCGGACTCCCGGGAGGAGGAGAGGCTAAGGGCACATGACACCGCCCAGAGCCGGAGCCCAGGGCCTCACCTCGACGGTTGTAGCAGTCGGCGGCCGAGCAGGAGTGGGTGTGTGTGCTCCGTCGGCCCATGTCCCGGTCCCAGCGTGGAGGGAGGATCCGTGTGGGGTACACAGGAAAGCCGCAGCCATAGCAGGGCGACGGGGACCCCATCTGTGCCCAGCCCCTGCGGGTGGGCAGGGACTATGAGGATGGGAGGCGGGGCCGGGCTGGGGCAGGGTGGGGGGCGGGGCGGGGTCAGCACCCTCACCGGAAGTTGTGCCGGCACTTGGGGCAGTGGAACTCAGCCTGGCCCCACATCTTGTCGGCTGGCACCGGATCGTAGCGCCTGCGGCATTTCCGGCACCGAGACACCTGCGGTGGGGGGCGCACACAGGGGTCAAGGTCACTGACTTGACCTTGGCAGCCTGACACTGGCCACTGGTGGGGACGTCTGTGCCACAGTCACCGGCCAGCGCACAAACGTCAGCTTCCCCCATCTCCCCGTCCCCCCTGCTTTCTCCCAGGGGAACCTGGACGCCACATTTAGGGTTGTGGCTTTGGAGTCAAGTTCAATTCGCAACCAGCGGGGTCGGAGGTCAGAAGTGCAGCTGCAGGTCAGCCGGTGGGATGCGGGTCAAGCTCGGAGGTCAGAGGTCAGGGGTCAGGAGTGGCGTTCAGGACAGAAACCAAGGTCAAGTTTTAGGCGGTCACCTCCTTCCGCTGGGGCACACGGCGCCACCAGACGTGGTCGCAGGAGGAACAGGCGAACTGCCTGTCCACGGCAGGGATTAGGTCATCCTGGGCCCGCTGGAACATGCGCAGGTTGGCCTCCGTCAGCGGCAGGAGGGAGGTGGCCACGGCCTGCGGGACGGGCAGGGTGGGGACAGGGGTCACCGTCCTCTGCCTTGCACACGTCTGCCGCCACCCCCACACGGGTCCCCCTGCCCAGCTGCCAACTCACCTGGATGTCTCGGTCCTGCTTCATGTCCTCTGGGGGGTCCTGCGTGGAGACGCCAGGGGCAGAAACTGGGGCAGGCACTCGGGTCTCCCCTTTACCCGCCTTTGCTGGGGGAGGGGCCTCCCAGAGCTCAGAGCAGGTGCACAGCCAGCAAGGAGCAGGTACATGGCTTCCCTTACCCATTCCGTTAGCCCCGACAGGTGGGCGCACCTGTTCTCGCCATTGCTCATATGGGGAAACTGAGGCCCAAAGGCAGGGGAGGGCTTGCCCGAGATCATCCTAACGCCCGCAAAAGCCAGGGCTGGGCCAGGCCGAAGCAGGGAGCCTGGAGCTCCATCGGGGTCTCCCATGTGGGCGGTAGGGGCCCAAGCTCTTCAACCATCCCTGTCGCCTCCCAGCGTGCCCATGGCAGGAAGCTGGACCGGAAGAGGCGGAGCCGGACTCCAACCAGGCATTCCGCCTCGCGCTAAACACCAGCTCGCCACCTATTTGAGGCCCCGTCGCTTTCGGCTAGTGCTTGGGGCTCTGGATTTGAACAGACACAGGTTCAAGTCCTGGCTTTGGCACTTCCGGCTGTGAGAACGTGGGCAAACCACTCGTCCCCCCGGGGCCCCTGGAGAAAGCATGACTTCACCACCGTGCCTCAGTACTGGTCTGTAAAATGGGCTGATCAATAATGGGTCCTGGCTCGTGTGGTGATCAAACAAGTCAGTTCCTGGAACCTGGCCCCTCGGGGAAGTGCCGGGTCAATGATTACCCTCTGTGATTATTTCTATCACATGCTTTATGCCTATAAAGATTAGGATGCGCACTTTATCTCCAGGTAGGTGAGATCCAGCCATTCCCACACAAAGCCAGTCATCACTCATTCATTCGTTCAACACAAGGACGCCCTAGCCGCTTCCCCCTTCCCGCCTCTTCTGGGGTCAGTTCCCCCTCTTCTCTCCCAGCCTATGCTACCTGTCACCCCCTCCCCTGCTTTTCCATTCCAGGGCTCACTCCTCCCTGTCAAGGCTTTGCATCACCTCCTCCAGGGAGTCTTCCCTGACTTCCTGGGCTCCCTGGCGCCAATGGCGGCGTCCGCTCCGCTCCATGGAACACAATCAGCACTTAATGAGCACCTACTGTTTGCAGGCTCCCTGGCCCAGCCGATGATTGAGGAAGGCGCTGTGTGTGGCCAGCCCTGCTCGCTCCAGAGGGTCCCCCCGGCTCTCCCGCCCGGTACCCCGACCTTGGAGGCCAGGGGACAGGTTACCTGCGCGTCCAGGTCATTACTGAGCTCCTGTCCGTCCTTCTGCTTTACCCCTGGCGGGATAAGACAGGGCCCCTGAGCGGCCTGCGCCGCCCAGACCCTCCCGCGGCTAGACCCTCCCGCGGCTGGGCCCTCCCGCGCCACGCCCCCTCGGCGCCGGCCGGGGACCCCCGCGCGCTCACCGTACACGATGGAGCGACCCACGCCGGTGTGGTCGCTGCCGAATTTCCTCATCAGAGCCCCGGCCTTCTTGGGCGACACCTTCCCATGAAACTTCTCCCGGAGGCGCCGGACGCTCTTCTCCAACTGGGACGGGGTGGGGGTGGGGGGACAGGTGGGCTCCGGTGTGTGGGGGGGAGGGTCGAGCCGCCGCCCCTCCCCCAACTCCAGGTAACATTCCTGGGGCCTGAACTTTAGCCTTGGTTTTGGCCTCCGCCCCCTCCCCCCTTCCCACCATCTCTCCACGACATTTCCTGCACAACCCCCAAGTCCCTACAGGGTCTGGGGGTGGGAGCGGACGGCGGGCGCGGGTCCCAGCCTGCGGGCGGGGCGCACAGGTAAGGCCTGGGTCTGACCCCTGACCCCGCAGCCCCCGCTTCTCCTCGGGGGGAGGCCGCGCTTCGCTCCGGAGGCGGGGGACGTGAGCGGCGCGCTCCTCTCCGAGGGGGCCCGGGCGCTCGCCCTGAGCAAGGGATGGGATGCGGATGGGGGTCCCCCAGGAACTGCGGAGCCCCCTCGGCGCCCCCGGGCCCCCCTCGGCGCCTGCCGCGGGCCCCTCGGCTCGCGGCCGTGGCCATCGCCTACCTCCACACCTTCCTGAGACATGGTGGTGGCGCGCAGGTCCCCGCGAGGGTCCGCACTGCGTGGCTCAGCCGCCCTCCTCGCTGGGCGCGCCCGTCGGTCCGGCCGCCGCGCAGGGCAGGGGGCGGGGTCTCGCGGCCGGCTCCGCCCTTCTGCCCGGGCCCGGTGTTTCGCTTTCGGTTCCGAAGTGGGGAACGGGTGCGCTGGCTCCGCCCCGGCTCCGCCTCTGCACTTGCGCCCCAAACCCAGGCGGGCGCGCGGGGTCTGCGCCCTGCGGCGGGGCGCGCGCACCTCGGGCGGGGGAGGCGGCGCGGCCTCTGCAGTCGGTCACATGTCCCCACGCTGCGCGGGGGCCGCGTCTTCACGTCCCCCGTGGGGGCGGGGCCGCCTCCGAAGGCAGCGGCGGGTCCCCGCGCCCCCCACTCCCTGCGTGCGCTCCCACGGACCGGGCGCTTGTTAGGACCTGGGGGGGTTTGTGTGTGGGGGTCCCTCCTCCCCTGCTGTTGAGTTCCTGACAGGCCACTGTGTGTTTCTGATCCTCAGTTTATCGCTCTGTAAAATGGGAATGATCCATAGGTGCTTGTGAAAAACACAGGGTGATGGGCCCCAGCTTTTGGGGGGCGCTTTAGAAATGTGCATTTTATTTTTTAAAAGTTGTATTTATTTGGCTGGCAGAGATAAAGAGAGAGAGTGCATTCCCATTTGCTGGTGGACTCCCTAAATGCCTGGGTCAGGCCGAAGCCAGGAGCAGGCACCTCAGTCTGGGTCTCCCACGTGGGTGGCAGGGACCCAAGTGCTTGAGCCACCACCTGCTGCCTCCCAGGGCTGTGCTATAGTGGGAACTGGGACCTGGATCAGAGCCCAGGAGTTCAGCTCATGCCATGCAGGCCTCTCATGTGTCCAGTTAACCCTCTCAAGCCAAATGCTTGCTTTGGAATCTGCATTCTCAATCGGGCGGTTGAGGGGCCCATGGGGCCCCAGCAGAGGGGCCTGGGGAGCCTTTAGCTGGGACCCTCGGCCTGGGGACATCATCTCCTGCTTGGACAGAGCCCCAGAAGTTTGAGGTCATAGCTGGTGAGGATGGAGTCGGGTGAAAGAAGCAACTGCGTTTTCTCAGCCGCCTGCACAGAGCTGCAGACACTTTGGACCAGTAACTCTTTGCGATGGGGATCTGTCCCCGGCCCCCATGCCCTAGATGCCACCGGAGTCGTGGCCCTCCTCAGAAGTGGCCTCCGGACACTGCTGGAACACAGGGCGGTGTTGGGCACAGAGGTTTTGCTGCCGCCTGGGACGCTGGCATCCCATCTTCAAGTGCCAGGGTTTGAATCCCAGCTCCCGACTCCAGCGCCCTGCTGATGCGCACCCTGGGAGGCACCAGGAGATGGCAGGTGCACGGGGCTCCTAACACCTCTGGGGGAGACCTGGAGGGAGCTCCTGGCTCCTGGTTTTGGTCTGGTCCAGTGTTGGATGTTGTAGGCATTTGGGGAGGGAACCAGCGCATGGGAGATCTCTGTCTTTCAAATAAATAAAATCAATTATTAAGTTAAAAATACGCCTACCATAGGATTCATCAATCCTACAATAGGCACGCCCCTGTCACCCACGAGGGAGACTTGGATGGAGTTCCCAGCTCTTGGCTTCTGCCTGGCCCAGCCCTGGCTGCTGCAGGTATCTGGGAAGTGAATCAGCAGATGGAAGACCTCTCTAATAATAATTTTTTTTTATGGCATTCCTCTCAGGGGTATGGTGATCCTCCCGTAGAGTTGAAGCCATCTCTAGCTGACTTACAAGACTTGATACAATGTAAGTGCTCTGTAGTTGTTACACTGTATTGTTACTAGAATACCCACAAGGAAGAATCCTCTATTTGTTCAATACAGATACAATCTTTCCCTCCAAACTTGCAGCTGGGCAGGAAGAGAAACGACCCTGCCACCAGGTGGAGGCACAGCCTCCCCGCTATGAGTTCCACTCGAGTTCTTGTCGTTGTCCCCGCCCGGGCAGACCAGGCTTGTTTGCACGGTGGCATGAGCATTACCGCATTGTATCCTTTATTTCCATTTATTTTTAAATTTGTACTTATTTGAAAGGCAGAGAGACAGAAACAGGGAAAGAGAGAGAGGGAGAGAGAGATCTTCCATTTGCTGGGTCACTCCCCAAATGCCTGCATGAGCCGGGGCTGAGCCAGTTCAGAGCCAGGAGTCGGGAACTCCATCCGGGGCTCCTGCGTGGGTGGCAGGGGGCCCAGGGACTCTGGCCATCACTGCCGCCTCCCAGGGCGTGCACCTGCAGGAAGCTGGAGTCAGGAGTGCATGCCTGGTACAGGGTGCAGGCAGCCCATGTGGTGTCTGGATGCTGCGCCAAGTGCCCGCCCATCCACATTTTTATAAAAAATTGTGCAAAATGAGGAAATGCATGTGCTGAGAAGAGTGATAAGAAGGGAAGCCTGGGGCCGGCGCTGTGGCGTAGTGGGTAAAGTCGCCACTTGCGGTGCCATCATCCCATATGGGTGCCGGTTCGAGACCTGGCTGCTCCACTTTCAATCCAGCTCTCTGCTGTGGCCTGGGAAAGCAGTGTAAGATGGCCCAAGTCTTTGGACCCCTGCACCCATGTGGGAGACCCGGAAGAAGCACCTGGCTCCTGGCTCCAGATTGGTGCAGCTCCGGCCACTGCTGCCATTTGGGGAGTGAACCAGCAGATGGAAGACCTCTCTCTCTCTGCCTCTGCCTCTCTGTAACTCTGCCTTTCAAATAAATCTTAGAAGGAGAAGAAGAGAAGAAGAAAAAGGGAAGCCTGTGGCACGTTAGTATAATTGAGTCAAAGATGCAACTCATGAGAGCCATTCATTCATGAATTTGTCAGACAGGCCCCTAGTCCCTGCTGTACACCAGGCCTGGTGCTGGGTGCATCCCCACATTGGACACCATTTCTGCTCCTCTGCAGCTCATGGTCTTGATGGAAAAGAGAAACAGGAAGGTGATATCACAAATAATTTTAAAAAATAACTGAGAGATCCATGAGAAAGCAGCACACAGGGGGACGTGATCCTGGAAGGCTTCCTGAAGGAGGTGCCCTTGAGCTGCAACTGTAACACCTGGAAGTGCTGCAGGTGCTTTAACTGTGTATCTCACTTAATCCTCACAGCCAGCCTCGGAAGCCGGAGGTAATATTGCCAATGGGAAAAGAGGTTTAAGAGCCCACTCCAAGTCACTGCAAAGGACAAAGAGAAGTAACCCAGGTGACAAAGGAAAAAGCCGTATGGCTGCAGGTCACGTTGTGTGTGGATCAGCCTGACGCAGCCCATCTTAAGTGGGACACTCCCACGTGGGACCCAAGCCCTTGAGCTGCCTCCCAGGACGTGTGTTAGCAGGAAGCTGGGATTGGGAGCGGAGCTGGGACTGAAACCCAGGCACTGTGATAAGGGATGCCCTAAACTTATCTTTTAATTCCATGCTCTTCACGCACTTTTGGGAGCCCATTTGTTGATGGAATTTATCCTGGTGCATACATAGGAAGAAGTCTGCAGACACAGCCCAAATGCGTGCATTTCTGCAGGTGCCCCTCCTCAGCACCGTTATTTTCCATAGTTCACATTTCTGGAATAACCGAGTTGCTTTTGCAATAAGCATCTACCATTTTACAATCAGAAAACACAGACCCAAGGAGCTAAATGCAATTATTTAAAAAAAATCACAGGTATAAAACCCTGGAAATAGATCTTTGACAACGGCACCTAGGAGGTGAGAATTAACACAGGGTTTGATGGGGTGGGTGGTGCCTATGGAATGGACGTTATAGCCCAGAAAATCTTTTGTGCAGGTTTGAGAAGTCAGCTCCCAGTGCAGGCTCGGGTTCTGCGCAAAAGTTGAGTAACCTGTTTGGGGGCTCTGCTCAAGTGAACTTGGCCAGTAAGGAATTTGCTATTGGCTGAAATAAATACCAGGATGGTACAGGAGGTAGGTCGGTCACTCGCTGGGTGCCAGGTTCTCTGTGCGGTGTGCCCTGGTACCCTGGGCCTTAAGTGTCCTTTGTCCCTGTTGTGGCTGGGTGCTGGTTTGAGTCCTAGCTGTTCCACTTCCAATCCAGCTCCCTTGGAAAGCAGAAAAAAAAAAAAAAAAACCCTCAAGTCCTTGGGCCCCTGCATCCACCTGGGAGACCTGGAAGAAGCTCCTGGCTCCTGACTTCAGCCTGGCCCAGCTCTGGTCATTGCAGCCATTTGGAGAGTGAATGAGTAGATGGAAGATCTTGCTCCGTCTCTGTATCTCTGCCTTTCAAATTCAATAAATAAATAAATATTTGAGGTGGGGGTGGGAATCTTCCATTTGCTCCCCAAATGGCCACAACAGCTGGAACTGGGCTGGTCCAAAGCCAGGAGCTTCTTCCAGGTCTCCAACATGAGTGCAGGGGGCCAAGCACGTGGGCCATCTTCCAGTGCTTTCCCAGGTGCGTTAGCTGGGCGCTGGGTCAGAAGTGGAGCAGCTGGGACTCGAACTAGAGCCCCACCCCCACCCCCAGCAAGAGGTGACCTCTCAGCAGACCCCACACAGGGAAGGGTTCAGTCCAGGCAGATATGGGGGGAGGGTGCATTGGCAGAGGGACAGTGTGTGCAAAGGTCCTGAGGCAGCAATGCATTTGGCTGTTGTCAGGACACAGAGGCGGCCCGTGTGGTTGGGATGCAGGAAGAGAGGAAGAAGAGATGCAAGCCAGGTTAGGGCAGCCTGGTGGGGGGAGGAGCCCCCTCACACTTGGAGCAGGAACAGACGTCTGGAGTTGGGTGTGAGATTCCATGTCCTTTATTTGGGGTTAAGCCCAGTGGCCCAGACTTCCTTGGAGACACATCACCGAGAGCGTCACCAAGGACAGCCGAGGCCTCTCGGTCTCAGGACTGGCAGCCGTGGGTGGTCAAATATTCGGAGAATTCCTCCAGCTCGCCCAGCAGTTTTCTCCTCCTCACATCCCCGTCTGCCGGCCAAAGCATGAGGAATGTATCCTTGCCCAGGACGTAGGTGTAACTGAGCGTGGGAGAGAGGAAGAGTGAGGAGGGCCTGGTGGCCCTGGGAGCTTGGGGACCTCCCCGCCTTGCCCCTCTGCCCTCCTCGTCCTCCAGCCCCCATCCCGCACTACTGGGATGAAGCCCTGCCTCAGGCTCTTTACTCCTCTCTGCTGGAAAACTGAAATTCCCAGGAGGAGTCCCTGGAGTTGTGCCGTGCACAACCTGCACCTCCACACAGGGCAGCCCCGAAGCTCCCTGCTGACAAGTCCAGCAGAGCTGCGGGCTGGGCTGGGGAAGGGGAGGACACCCAGGTCTGAGCCCAGGCAGTCAGA